ACCCCAACCCCAACCCCAACCCCAACCCCAACCCCAACCCCAACCCCAACCCCAACCCCAACCCCAACCCCAACCCCAACCCCAACCCCAACCCCAACCCCAACCCCAACCCCAACCCCAACCCCAACCCCAACCCCAACCCCAACCCCAACCCCAACCCCAACCCCAACCCCAACCCCAACCCCAACCCCAACCCCAACCCCAACCCCAACCCCAACCCCAACCCCAAACCCCAACCCCAACCCCAACCCCAACCCCAACCCCAACCCCAACCCCAACCCCAACCCCAACCCCAACCCCAACCCCAACCCCAACCCCAACCCCACTAAAAATTAATAATTATTTTAAGATATTTTAATCTTCAAAAAGTAAGTAGATTGATAGATAGATATTTTTAACTAAAAAAACTATTAGTCAAAATAGCTTTAAATTATATGGAAGTGAAAATAATTTGATGATAAATAATTAATTGATATTACTTAAATTAATATAAATAAGCATTTTAAAATCAAAAATTTTTATTTTTGTCAAAAGCAAATTAAATATTATTTATTACATCAAGTTAGTAAAGAAATTTAATTATTTTTAAAACAAATAATAATTATTAATTAATTTGAATTTGAATTTTTTTTATCTTTTATTTTTGTATAAATATCCTTTTTTTCTTATAATTATTATCTTTTTAATAAAATTAATATATTATTTAAATTTAAATGGAATCAAAAACAAACAGACACACTTTTTAAAACTATTTAAAATAATTTTTTCATAAATTATTAATTGTAATAATAGAGTAAAAAACCAATAAATTTTATTACACAAATAATAGAATAAATATCTAATCAAACATAATAGTTTAATTAAAAGTTTTCTAAATACTCACTTCTAAAAAAATGTATTATTTTACTCTTTTTTGATGCACGCATTGTTTATCAAAAGAAAATAACTTTTAAAACTTTAAAAATGAGAATTATTTTATTTTTATATCTTCAAAAACTAAATTAGTTTTTAAAATTTGATAAATTAAAAAGTTTTTAATTTATATTTTTTATCAGGAGAATAATTTTTTTAGAGTAGGACTGACACAAACGAATGAATAAAAATGATTAATTTACAATAAATATTTATAATAATATCTGAAAATTGTGAAAAGTAAATAAATTAGTGGATATTTTAGTTTAAATAAAATCATCTTTGTCCTTAATCTATATTAATGAGTCTTGTAGGGCGGATAATAAGTTCATGATCAATCTATAGTATTAGTAAAAATTAAGTAAAATAAAAATAACTTCAAATAAAATCATTTACTTATATGTATTGATTTAAAAGATTCTTTAATTCTTCATTTTGGTTATGCAATTCACTGGTTTCTTCGATTAATTTTTGTCTGTCCAAAAGAAGTTCATAATATTTGGACAAAGATCTGTCCAAAACCTTAATTTGTTTATTTAATTCAATAAAATTTATTTTTCAAAACTAAATTTAAAGAAATTTACATTCCAAATTCTAAATGTTCTTTCAGGTAAAACTTGAGTAAGCTTTTCCCAATATTTTTTACCTTCTCTAGCAATTCTTTCCTTTTTTTCTCTTTCAGTCTCCTATTTGACTGCTTTTTTAGAACTTTCCTTTTCTGTTAAAAATTTATTAATCTTGTAAATAAAATAATTTTAATTAATACCTAATTTTTCTTTTCTTTTGTCTTTATTAGCCTACCAATTTTACAAAAATTTAACTACTTCATTAAGATTAATTTGAGTGTTTTCTAAATCGATTTCTTTCTCGATTTCACCTTCTAAATTTTCTTATCCTTCAGCATTCTCTCCTTCTTCTTGATTCTCTCCCATTCCTCCTTAATTAGAATCATATTAACCTTATCCTTGACCTGCATGATCATCTTATCCATCTTTCTTTTTCTTCCTTTCATCTTAATTAGATTTATTTTATCCTTAAGGATTAGCATTTTCTTTACTATCTTTAGCACCTTCTTTTCCTTTAGGATCATCTTTTTTATTTCCTTCTTCCTTTTTCTTTTGTTAAGCCCCTTCTTATTATTAAACCTCTTCACCCTCTGGATTCTCATTTTCCTCAGCTTCCTAATAAATAAATAAATAAATAAATAAATAAAATGATATATTTATTAATTTAAATAAAATCTGAATAAAAGCTATTATTTTTACTTTGATTAAACCAAGCAAAAGAAGTTATTTTCTTGCTTCCTCTTCTATTTCTTCTGCTGACTTTACTCTGCATTTTGTGATTAATTCTCTGAAGAATAAATTCATTTCATCTTCTGAATCAATATATAAGCATTTTTTGATGCAATCTAATCTTTAAAATATTTATTCTGGTTCAGCTGATCCTTCTAATTCTTCCCTGAGCTTTAAAATTAGAAAAGTAAAATTTAATAAAAAAATTAAAGATATATTTAAATTTACTTTGTCATCAATAAGAAAATCTGCTTCTTCCAAAATAATATTGCAGATTTCTCCAATTTTAATTTCACTTATGCAGAATTCAAATTCTCTTTCTTCCTCTTCTTCAGCTTTACCTCCTTACTCTAAAAAGAATATTTGTTTAGGTTATTCAAAATAATTTATTAGTTAAATAAAAATTACCTAATTAAAGTTTTTACTAAGCAAGAATTTCCTCTTCAGATTAAGGTGGAATCCATTACATACCTAACTATTGAATGTGAATGGTTATATTACATTTTATTATTTTATCTTTTAATTCCTTAACTTCAGCTTCATTCATTTTTTAAATTTCAGAATACCTATATTAATTTAAAATCAAATCATTAATTAATTAATTTTTAAATTAAAGAAATCAATATTTTTGTATTTATTTTATTCATTATGAATAAGTTTTCTTGTTTTTAATAAATTATTTATCTAAACTTTTCTTTATTATTATTAATTAAAAATTTACTCTTTAAAAGTTTATTTATTTATTTTTTAATAAATTAATTCTATTGTTTAAATAGCACTTTTCTTTGATTTAAACTTATAAAAAAGCAAACAATTTTTTGATATTCTATGAAAGTTTTTTTAATTTAAGCTTTTTTTATTGATTTGGGTGATACCAAAAATCCTAGTTTATATGTTTTTATTCTCATATTTTGATAATTTATATTTGTTGAAATAGCAAAAAGATAAAATAATTTACATTTTTATCAATAAAATGTAATTTTGCAGTTTAAGAAAGTAAAAAAATATTATCTTGAGGTATTTTTAAAAATTAGATAATTTAATTTATGTAAACTTTTAGTTTGTAAAATATTTGAAATAAAAATTACTTATCTAGATCAGCCTTTTCAAAATGTTTAAATTTCTTCTAAAGTTCTTTAAATTGCCTTATGATTCTTTTATATTCTTAAGTTAGGTTCTTATTTTCAAGTTTAAATTTCTTATCGTACTTTATTTAAAAAATGTAAATTTAAAAATAGCTTGCAGGTAATCTGATAATTTTTACTTGCTTATAATCTTTGGTGAGTTATTTTAGTCTATTTTTGAAGTTGTTTTCTTTTCTTTTTAATTCATCACACATAGAATTGTTTTCATGAAACTTTTCTTGTAAAACTTTTAAACTATAATCTAACTTTTCAGTGATCAATTAATATAGAGCTTTCATGTCTTCAAAACACTTTTCAAGATCTTAAATTTCGGTTTCCATAGTAATTTTAAGTTCAGCATAATGCTTAGCTCCCTTGATACGGAGGTCTTCAATATTCTTAGTTTATTCTTCTTCTGTTTTGGCGTGCTCTTTAACGTATTGTTCTTCTAAATCAAGATGCTTTTTAAAAGTAGCTTATATTTTAGCTTTGAATTCATTAAGCAAATTAGATCTCTATTTGTATAGAAAAATAAACAAATAAATAAATAGTTGACTTTTTAATACAGAATTTATAAATTATTTTTCAATAAAATTTTACTTCTTATTCAAAGTGTCTTTCTATATCTTCCAATTCTTGCATATTTGCATCTCTTATTTTATAGAATTAGCTTCTCATTTTACTAATCATGTCTTTTATGTCATTTGATTATTCTTTTAACATCTTTACGTATTCATCATCCTTTCTTTTAAGCTCTTCTTCGAACTCTTTTCTAAGATTTTCTTTTCCTTCTATAATTTGTTAAAATGTTTGCTATTAATCTTGCATTTCCTATTTTTAAATTAAACAAATCAATCAGTTAGCTAATCAATCGTCATTTGTTGAAGTTAGGAGTTTATTTATTAATAGATAAATTCCTAGTAAACAATTATCAATTATTTATTACTCTGTTTAATTCTTCGCATTCATCTAATTCTTTGAGCTCAGCCCATTTCATTTCTAAAGCTGCATTTTTCTTGCCAGATGCAATTGCTTCTTACTAAATTTCTGCATATCTTTTAAAATATTATCAAATTAATTTAAGTTATCGATTGCCTGTATTCCAAATAAAAACCGTTTACCTTTCTCTTCTTCTTCTTTCATCCTCAGCTCTTTTCTTCTTTTAAAAACGCTCATTCTTTAATTTTATATTATTTATGTCTTCGTACATAGTCCTAACGAGAAGGTCAATACTACCTCTCGAAACCTAAATTTAAATTTTTCCTTTTTGAGTTTGTGAAGGGTTCATTTTGATTGATTTATTTGTTTGTTTGTTAAATGAATCTATGTTATTTGTTAATTAATCAGTAAATATATAGTAAAACAAATAAATATTGTTTTAAAGCAACAATTATTAGTTAATTAATTAATAAATTGATTGATTTTTATTTATAAATTCGATTGTTTCAAAATCAAATAAATATCTTAATAAATTAATTAGTTTTTAACTAAAAAAAGCTGCAAAATTTGAAGTTTCATTAAGTGATTGAATGAATGAATGAATAATTGATTGATTGATATATAAAATGAATGTATCTATTTATATTTATTTGATTTTTATGAATTAATTACACACACATTTTTTTTTAATTAAATAATGATTTTTTAATTTAAAATAAATACAAGTGAGTGTTTGAAAATTAATTGCTTGATTTATTGATTAATGAATTGCTTGCTTGCTTAGATTTATTTGATTTTGGACAAACGTTGGAAATTTTAATTAAAAATAAAGGATCCATAAATTATGACATAAATATACACAACTACATATTTAAGATTTTCATTTTTTAATATTAGAAACTAACCATTACATGCCTTCTTCCATACCTAATTTGATGAGAGAGTTGAATGAGAATACTGAAAATTTTTAAAATTAGATATAAAATAGATACCTTCCTTAAGAACAGCTGAACATGCAACAATTGACCACTATCTATCCTTAATATTATCTAACTTCAAAGTGCCACTGATCTAAATAATATAAAACTTGTTAATTAATCGATAATTCTCACAAATAAATTTTAAACCTCATCAGGAGCTAAGGCAGTAGCCAAGTCCTATTTGTTAGCGAAGATTAAAAGAGGGATACCTGCTAATTTTTATTCCTAAAATTTTAAAAAGAGAGAATTTGTTTTTTTCAATTCGAATTTAACTTGCTAATAATTGATGTTAATTATTCTTACTTCGAGAAGCTTTTCTAACTCTTGTCCGGATTCTTTTAGTCTCTTAGTATCAGAAGAATCGATTACATATACGAGAGCGTCAGTACCTTCAAAGTAATTCTCCCAGTAATCTCTAAGGGCCTTTTAACCACCAACATCCCAAACGTTTAATTTGCAACCATCGTGGGAGAGATTTTTAATGTTGAAACCATGGGTAGGTTTAATAGTGGAAATATCTTCGTTTGAAAGTGATTTTAATATGGTAGTCTTACCAGCATTATCTAAACCTAATACTAATAATCTGACTTCCTTTTAGCCTTATCTCAAATTTCTAAGTAATGAAATTAAACCCTATCATAAAAAATAAATTAATTTATTTTCTTGCTCAAGTACTTTCTTACCATGTATGTTAGTTAGTTTGTTTCTTTGTTATATCTTTCCTAATTTTCCTTTTTGATAACTTGGTTTTTTAATTATTATTTTATTTAATTATTTAATTTTTTTGTTTTTTTCTGTCAAAATAGTTGAGTTGAAGAGCAAATTTTTAGTATTCAAAAAAGTTTATAATTATTAAATTTTTTTTTTTTTAAATACAAAAAATTAAAAAAAAGAAAAAGTAAAAGAGTGAGTTTCAAATTAAGTTTTTCAAATAATTATTAAAAATTCTTATGCACTGCTAGCCCCAAAAGTTTTTAAAATTCCCTTCACAGCTCACTCTTACTTTTAAAATCAAAAATTATCTTAAAGCTCGCAACTTAAATTTTAAAAATACATGCGTGAGGAAATGTCAAAAAAAACCTAACTCTTTTATTTAAATATCCATTAATAAATATATTAATTATAATAGTAAATAGTGATCTAGCTCGTTAACTTAGAAGACATCAAATAAAAAAAGAAAGATACTAAAAAATAAATTAAATAAAAATTAATTATTTATAAATCAATGAAAAAAAGAAAAATTAATCTAAAAAGAAATAAAAAAGTCCAAACAAATTCAAATTAAATAAAGAAAAAAGTAAAAATATAAAAAATAATAATAAATAAGCTAAAACAAAAGCAAAAAAATATAAAAATAAATTGATAAACCAAATAACAAAAAATAAATTACCTAAAAATACCAAATTATATTTATTTTTTATAATTGTTAAAATATTTATTAATAAGATTAATACCATAATTCATTTTGAATTTTTTTAAACCTTTGTAGAGAATTGTGAAAAATTCAATTAAGAATTAGAAAATTTTTAAAAATAAAAAATTCTCTTATTTAATGAAAGCTGAGAAAATTTAAAAAATAATTTTTAATTTCAATTTCTATCAAAATTTAAATCAAAAAAAGGAAATTTAGAATTTATTTGATTTTTTTATCTTTTGTTAGAGGAAAAAAGACTTTGATATGAAAATTAATTCAAATAAAAATATTTGATTTATTGCAAAAAAAGAAATGTATAAATTGAAGATAAATGTGTTGATTGAATTAAGATTTATAAATTAGATTAAATAATAAATGAAAAATAAAAATAATTAATTAATTAATTAATGAAATATTGCAACTAGAATAATCATAAATTTTTTTAATTTATAAACACGTCAGTAAGATATTTTATATATTTAGCTATGTTTATTTATTTAACATATCATCTCTATTTCAATTTTTGATTTCAAGCTTTATTTAAACCATTAGTTTATTTTAAGTGATTAGGTCCACGCGTTTTTTTCTATCTCAACTTATTTGGAGATATATGTTTGAAGATTTTTAATTAAAGTAAATATTATTTATAATAATAAACTAAAAAGTATCTTAATCAAAAACTAAAAAAAAAAAATTAAAATGAGCACAAATACCAAGAAGCAACAACCCGAATAAATTATTCCTACTGAAGAAGTCAAGAAGGAAAACACCAAGGGCGAAAAGAGAACTCACGGCAGAACCAACAAGGGTACTAATGCTACTGTTGAAAAGGATGACCGTTAAAATAAGACTGGCTTAAAGAAGAGAGATCAAAACGCAAGAAGAAATGAAGGTACCTACATTAAAAAGGCTGCTCTTGATAACGGAGAGCTTCCTCCTTCTGACGAAGAATAAAAGAATGATAAGGGTGAAAAGAAGTAATTCAGACCTAGATATGAAAAGGTTACTGAAAGCAAATTCAATTGGGACAAGAAGGCAATTACTCTTGAAACTGTTATCCCTAAACCCCCTCATCAAAAGGAATTGCTCGAAGAACCTAAGAGAGAAACTCTTAACAAAATCATTGATTAAATCGATGCTAAGATTGAAGATGCCAAAACCAAGAAAGTAATAATTTAAATAAAATGAATTAAACCTAATACTTATTCTAGGAAAAATGAATGATGCATGTATTTAATAATTTATTTATCTTTATAAAAGTTCTAAAAAGTTAATGAAATCGTTAACAGAGACAAGACCATCAAGACCAATATCAATGGCTAATCTGAACCTCTTCACACTAAATTAAAAGAACTCTTCGAAAAATAAAAATCAAAAAAAGCTGAACACGAAGCTGCTCTTGCTGAACTTGAAAAGAAGTAAGAATTATCCAAGACTATCGTAAGATTTTTAATCGATTTTATCAATTTTGTTAACTCCTTTTATCTATTAAAAAACAGTAAAAAAGATCTTAAGATTTGAGAAACAAAATGAAAAAGTGCATGACTGAAAAGGAAATTAACGAAAGACTCGAAGAGTTAACTTTCAGACACAAGAATGAATTGTTAAACAATCAATAAGAAAAGAAGCTCGTCCAAGAAATCGAAGATTTGAAGCAATCTCTCCCTTTCTCTATGTAAGGAGAAATTAATTTAAATAACAAGAAAGTTATGTTAAATATTTTTATTTTAAATCAAAACAAAAGTCCTCTCTCTAAGTTGGAAGAAGAACTCAGAACTGCATAAAAAGAAGAAAAGGCTTACAAGGGTAAACAAGGTGCTGCTTACAAGGCATTGAAGGAAGTCTAAGAAGAAATCAATGAAGTTAAGAAACAATTAGAAGAAATCAAGAAGGTAATTTTTTAATTTAAAGCTTCAACTCATTACAAAATAAAAATAAATCCTACCCACGTTTACATATAATTTGATAAGAAATATTTGGAAAACTTTAATAAACAAATAAATACATATATAAAAACCCAATCTTTTAATTAACATAAGTCATATCTTTATTTTTATATCAACAAATTAGCTTAGAGAAACAACTCAAAGTGGTGAAAACCCCGAAATCGAACTTGCCAAGAAGGAATGCAGCGATTTAGTTGATTAATTGAAAAAGCAAAAGCACGAAGCTTACTAAAAATATGATGCTGATAGAAAGGCCTACCAAGAACAATAGGAACTTATCAGATATGTTGAATACGTTAAAAAGCAATAAGATTACCTTAGAAAGAAGGAAGCTTAAAGAAAGAGAGACGAAGAAAGAAAAAGACGTGAAGAAGAAAGATTGAAGCGTGAAGAAGAAGAAAAGGCTCTTGAAGAATAAAAGAAGAAGAGCAGATACCTTGTTTATGTTGGTAAGATACGTTTATTTATATAGTCAATTGAATCATTTTTTAATAAAATTTATCCATCCATCCATTCAAACCTTAATTTAATAACATTTTTTTCCTTTATTAAATAGAAATTGCTGATCATTTGATCAACTACTTAGAAAAGCTCTCTGGTAAGGGTGATAATAAGAAGGATTATGTCGATTAAACTGAAACCACCACCACTACTACTGAAACTAAGTCCGAACTTAAGATCGAAGATTTAAATAAGCTCCTCTAAAAGGAAAAGTTGACCGTCCTTGTTAGCAAGAAGGATAAGGCTGACTAATCCTAAGCCATTTTCGGTGGTCACAACAAAAAGAACCAAAAACCCAAAGAATAAGCTCAAAAGCAATAAGAAAAGACTCAAGAAAAGAACATCCTTGCTGATGCCTTCCACCACAACTACGAAATCATGGAATAATTCGAAAAGTTAGCTGTTGCTGCTCCCACTTTCAAGTCTGAAATCGATAAGACTATTTCCTTACTCCAAGAAAAGAAGCAATACTACATCGAACTCCCCAACAAAGAAAACGGAGATGCCACTGAAGAAAAGAATGCTGAAGACGTAAATTATTTTATTTAATTAAAAAAACATATCCTAAGTTTATTTTTCTTCTAAATTAACAGAAGCAAGATAAGAAACAAAAAAAGCAAAACAAGATTGAGTTCGATGAAACTGCTTTCCCTACTATTGAAAATTGAAGCAATTGAAGGCATAATCAACTTCTTTAACATCAATTTATAATTATTTAAATAGAAGAAATATTTGGTTAATGGTGAAGAAATATAATGGATTGCTTCCAATCTAATCAAATCAAATCAAACAAAATTGGAATCAATCCATTTCTTCGAAATAATTTATTAACAATTTATATTACTTTATGTATAAAATTTTATCCATAAAAAATCATCAAAAACTGATAGAGTTTTGTATAATATAATCCAATTTGTTAATATTTTTACAAATATTATAAAGGAAATCCTTATTTATTATAGCATGGCAAAAAAACAATTTCTTTACCAAACAAAAATCTCCTTATTTTAGGAGTAGAAAATCCATAAAATATAGCTTATCACCTCACATAAAATAAAAAAATTTAAGGATATATTTACGATTTATCTCCTAATTAATTTCAAATAAAAGATATTTTTTTATTCATCAGATTGATTCATTTCTTTTATATTTATTTTCCAGATATGTAAAAGAATTAACTACTTTTAAAATTCTTGCAATAATCTCAATCAAATCATAATTCTTAAATTAATTTGTGAATAAATCTTATTTAAAATATCTTCAAAAATGGTTTCAATTTAAGTTGAAATTATTCATGTTATTTAAAAAATTTACTTTCATAAAATTTGAAAAAAGATTAAAAACTAATTAAATAGTTTTTAAAACGTAATAATTAGCTTTTTTTTTAAAACAAAAAATTATTAGATTAATTTCTCAAAACAAAAAATTTTGTTTGAATATCTATTGATTACCTTATTTAATAATTTATTTTAAAGAGAAATATAGTTAGATATGTAGGAAAGTAAAATTTGTAAAAAAAGTATTTATGATATGTCTATAAAACGAAAATAAATAAAGAAATAATATTTTTAATTATTTTTAAAAAGTCATTTATATAAAACATGCAGGACTTTTAATAATTAAATTCCATAAAGTTTAAGCAAAACCAGATAGATGATACATTGATAAGAATCAATAATTATAAAAAGGATATATTTTCATATATTTTTAAAACAAAGATAAATAAATTAAAAATAAATTTTGAATAATGATGCCATTCATTTTCAATTTATAGTTAATTAATAAATTAATTTTTTTTTTTATTTTCTATTTTTGATGTTCTAATCTATTTTTTAAAATAAATTTAATTTATTATAATTTAATCGTAATTTTACTAATTTTTTACTTCAATTTAGTTGCATATTTTAATATTAAAGGGTCTTAATTATAATTATCTTAAATTTGCTATTTATTTTAATTTAAATTAACTTTTTTAAAACCAAAAACATATTTTGAATTTATTTTTTTAAAACAAAAAACTTTATTTTTTAATTGACTATTTTTAAAGTTTTTTGAAATGGAAGGATAGATAGATAGATAGATAGATAGATAGATAGATAGATAGGTAAATTTTGTACAAATAGTCTTTATGAAATGTCTTTAAAACAAACACAATTAAAGAAAAACAAAAATATTTTTAATTATTTATATATAATTTTTATTAATTATTTTGAGTCATTTATATTTTACAGTTGGTTATTTAATAAAAAATTTTTTTATTACAGAGATTCTATTTTCATTATTGCATGTCCTAATCTGTTTTTTAAAATAAATTTTATTTTTTCAATTTAAATATCAACTATCAATTTACTAAGCTTTTGCTGGATTCTAGCTGCATATTTTTATATTTGAGGGTCTTAATTATTACCATCTTAAATTTGTTTTATAATTGCTTGAATATTCATTTCCATGTAAACCTTTCTGCACTCTGGATAAACACACAAATTTCCAATAGAGAATAATGCTATTCTTTTGGGTGATAAACTCTTTAATTATAAATTAAAAATTAATTTTCAAAAATCTAAATTTATTTTTTTTTTACTGGACCCATATCATTCAAGACAACGTCAAGCATGGCATGGAGTGCTCTATGCTTGATTAAATCTTAAGTAAGAGTATCTGAATTTCTTACAAAGTTACCTAAGGCTCCTGCTGCATTAGCTCTTGTCTTTTCCTATTAAATTAAAAAATAAATTAAGTTTCAAATATTTATTTAATTTTTATTCAAATTAATTTATCTTTGCATAAATTAAACACAAATTTTTCATTAAATTATTTTATTATTTTTTTTTATCCTTATTTATTTAAAGTTTTTTTCAATTTTTGATAGATTTTTTTTGAATGAAATAACAAACTTTGAATGAAATAATTTCAGTGATTATTTCTTATCTTATTATCTTAGAGTGAGATAAATAAAATTAATTCTATTTCTTGATTAAATTTCAAAATTTAAAAAAAATAGGAGAAGAATTTTTAATCAAAAAAATAAGCAAAATTTTTAATTTTAATTTAAATAAAACTTGCTTGCTTTTTAGATTAAATTAAATTAATAAAAAATAAAAAATGTTGACTATCTTTTAATTAAAAAAGCAAATTACTTCTGGATCTTTTAGAAGATCTACAAGTAAAGGCACAACAGGCCTGAGATGTTCATAAAGTGCAGCATTATGAAAACCAGCATTACCAACTGCAAAACATGCAAACTTTCTTGTAGCTTTGTCTGAGTCTTTGCAGCATTCAATACAAGCAGAAATTAAATCATTTTTTAGTAGCATTTCATAGAAATAACTTGAATGACGGCAAATGTTACCTATGAAATTACATACTTTGGCTCTTACTGAACCTTCTTTATGGACAATAAGCTTCTTTAATTCTTGGTAGATGTCAATTACGTGGATATTATCATAATAATTTTTAGATATACGAGCGAGCTAGCTCAAAATATTGAGTGTATCAACTATCAAAGGATGAGGATTTTCATGATGCAACAAATTATACTTCTTAATGATGTAAAGTCCGTTATTGCTTACAAACTATGCTGCAAATTATTTGTCATCTTCTGTATTAAGAATAAGACGAGAGAGCAATTAAATAGCAATACCGATGTGATCTTTTTATAGATATTAAATAGTTTTAAGAGTGCTTAAAATAATCTCGGAGTTATTAAGCTCTCTTGTTATTCTTTCTAAATCATTTTCTTGGGATGGATGAGTGAAAGGAAGATTAAATATTCTAAGTAATTATGCAGTTATTAAGTGAACGCACATCATACCACCTCCATAGCTGCTTGGCCACTCATTTAGAGCTTTAAGTTAAGACTCTTTAAGCAATTCACATAAAATTAATAACACTTTTTCTTGGAAAATTTTATTAGAAAATTAAACGAAGTCAGAGATTATTGTGTCATGAATAAGTATAAGGAAAGACACAAAACCTTTTGGAGAAATGTCACTCTTAGAATTGAGAGTAGTGAGTATATTAAGGATGCTATTATCAATACCACTTTATTCAAACAAAGCAAATAGCTCACTTAGTTTTCTATGCTCTCTATGATATCTAAATAATAATCTCTGTAAGAAGTTAATTATACCATCATTGAATCCATAAACTGGGCAACCGAATCCAGAACCTTCTATATTTCTGATTTCTTCAATTTTATTTACCTTGAAATTATTTAGAAATATTTATAAATTAATTAAACAATTAAAATTATAATAGAATTACTTTCTTTGTAGGATTTAAGAGTTCTGTGAGTAATTTGTAAGAATTAACATTTTAGAATTTTTAAATAATTGCAACAGAAAGTGCTGAGTCATTTTAGAGTATTTCAGCTAACAAATTAATAGAGATTATTGCAACAATAGGGTGATTCCAAACATTCTTCTCTAAGTTATCAAGAATAAACTAAACATTGATTTATAGATCAATTTAAGTGTCTTTTTTGCTCGAAAGATGCTTCATTATATGAATCATAATCTGCATAGCTGTTCCATTAATAAATGGCTCATCGCTATACATATTTTATTACAGAGTAGTCAGCATAAGTCTATTTGTCAAAATCTTATCTATTAACTCTCTTATTGTTCTGACACCTTGCATAACAATTCTTAAAATCGATATTTTTGTTAATTTTGAGTTATCTTCTTCTGAATTGTACAAGCGCACAAATAAGCTTAGCCAATCAACTTCTTACAAACAAGTGTAAACTTAAGTTTTCAAGCATTCAAAAATATACAAGCATTCACAAAATTCAGAAACAGCTTTTTAATTATAAATAAAATTCTATATTATAAATTATTTATTTTTTTATTACCACCACTCAGGCCTCTTTTCCATGGGAAAGTAAAAATGTCACCATAAACTGGATGAACAAGAACAGCTAAGACTTAAATAATGAAGTTGTGTAAACTTTATGCCTATTTATAAAAAAATATATTTAATAATTTATGTAAGGAAATAAGTAAATTAATTACATTTTCCATGCTTTTGAGTAATGCGATACTGTCTGGAATAAATTTAATTTCAATTAATTCTTTGTAAAAATTGTAATTTCTGATAGGGTTAGCGCTTGCTTAATTTCCAAAGATACCAATAGTCTTTACCTAAAATGAATAAAAAAATAAAAATTTATAAATAGAATGACTCAATTTTGTTAGAATTACAATGTTAATAAGCAGAGATTAGTGGGGAATATCATTGTTAGAAGATCCCAACTTTATTAATTAAGGTATTTAAGGCAAAAAGACCTAGATGTAAGTATTTTCAATACCAACATTCTTATCAAAAGTAGATTTAGCTAACAGACATATAGTCTTTATCAATTCACATATCAAATCGATGAGAGTCTTGCTTTAATCTATTTTCAATATATTCTTTAATAGATTAATTAGCAAACCAGGAAGAAGAGCGTTTTTAGTAATATCTATTTTATTGTCATCATCAGATCTACCTCTGATTATTACTTAACACAATACCTATTCGTTTATTTGTTAATAATTAAATTTATTTGAAATTTGAATTTGTAATACGTATTTAAATTGTTAATTAATTACCTTTAAGCCGATTAATACGGAAGATTTTTTTTCTTTTCTTAAAACATCATTTACATTAATTTTTAATAATTACAAGAGTTTGTCTAAAAATCCTGTATCTTTTCTAAGTTCTGCAATTCCATTATCATCTTTTGCTTATTATTCATACTTGCTCCAAATTTCATCAGTGCAAACAACTTTTCTAGGCGAAACATCTCTGTTATCTACTTTATTTTTTTCTCCTACTCCATCAAAAGCTAAAATGTTTGTATTGTTTTACTATTAAGCTGTTGGTGTAGAAGAACCTTTTCTTTTTTATCCATTTAATCCTGGAGTTAAAGGTGCTTGTTGATTTGGAATTGATTAAACACTTGGAACTGCATTTTCTTTTTCATCAGATCCCTTTATTTAAATTAAATATTTTCAATAATTAAATAATTTATTAATTTATAATTTCTATTCATTATATTAAAAAATATTTTTTACATTAACCTCTTACAAGCCTGCCCATTGCTAGTATTTTTCTAGTCTCTTTCTTCTCTCAGCTTTTTCAGGTTCAGTTTCTTGGATAAAAGGATGATTGAGAAGGTTTGGCCAATCAGCTCTTTCACTGGGGTTTTTATTAAGCAGTCCCATTAAGAAATCTTTAAATTCTTACGACATATTATCAGGATACTTAACAGGGTCTTTAATAATTAAATCGATCAGTTTGTAAATAGAGTTTGTATAAAAAGGAGGCTGTCCTACAAACAGTTCATATAAAATAACACCTAGAGACCATAAATCAACAGTGTGATTGTAAGGTTATTCTTTAACAAGCTCTGGAGCCATATAGAGTGGAGTACCTTTAATAGATGTGAGTACTTAAGTATTTGAAGACAAAGCACGAGCAAAACCGAAATCGCATAATTTTACAACGCCATTTGCAGAAATTAAGATATTTTAAGGCTATTAATAATAATAAGTTAATAAAGAAATAGTAATTAATTAAAGTTTAGTTTTTGAATTTAATTATAAATTATTTAATTTGGTTTTGTATTATTTCTGTGATTGTTAAGATTTCATTGATTGATTGATAGATTGTTAGTAATATCATATCTATCAATTTTCAAATTTGAAACATTTTCTAAGTATTTTCAATAAGATTTGAATGTTATCTAATATTTACCTTCATGTCTCTATGAATAATTCTATTTGAATGCAAGTAGTCTAATGCTAAGATTAATTACTAAGCTATTTTTCTAACTTCAGATTCAGGTAGACTTCTATCATCTTCTAATATTTCAAACAATTCACCCTAAGCAAACTATTAATAAATTAAAATGAATGGCTTTAATATCTGTTTGTAGAAATTGCTTCTTGTTTTTTGATTCATAAGCTGCTTGAGTAGTTTTTTATATTGTTATTATCTATCTAATCAAAAGTATTACTTCTGTAACAACACAAAACTCATGAGGAGTCTCAAATGCATCTAAAAGAAGAATAATGTTTTCGTGCTTGAGTCGTCTTAAAATTTCAATTTCCTACCTTAAATTAGCTAAGTCTTTTTCAGATTTATTTCTATTTTTAAGGATACAAAAATAATTTTAGAGAAATGCTTAATAGATAAATTATGTAAATGTGATTTGCTTGATGATTTAATCTATTTATATATCTATAAATCTATCTGCTTGCTTAAATTCAAATAAAGAATGAAGTTGAAATACCTTTTTGAAATGAATTTCAATGCCAAAATTTATCCTGTATTTTTTCTTCTACCCTTAAAAACTTTACCAAAAGAACCTTCACCAATCTAATGAAGAATATGATAATTCTCCATTTTTGCTATTCCTTATTTTTACTATTAACTTTGAAAATTTATAATCCTTTTATCACGAAACAAGCAAGCAGTTTCTGACTTATTAATCAATCAAATTTCTTAAATTTTATAATCTTAAGTTTTCAAATTAACTCTCAAAAAAGATAATAAAGTCAGAATAAATAATTAAATTAATTAGATTCTTTTAAATAAAAGTGATATATATATATATATCTAACAATCTAACATTAAAACACCTAGATATACATACATAAATACATACAAATAAACCAACATATTTTCATAGATATATAGATTGTTTGTCATTTGATTCGATTTTGTATTTTCAAAATATTAATGAAGAAATTTTCTTTAGATGAGATTAAAAAGAGAAATTAAAATTTTGTTGTGAAGAAGTGTTAGCATAAGAAGTAAAGGACATAAAATGGTAGGTTTTGTAGAATTTAGCAAAATGATATATAAGTTTGATTTATTTGAATTCAAAAAGATTGATAAATGGTGTATTTATTGTTTACTTAATTTCATTTATGAGCCTCAAATATATAAATATTTTTATAAATAAGTAAAATTAGAAGCAGTTTTTACTTAGAAAATGTTAAAAAATTTAATAAAAAATATATTTATAAGTGGAAAAAGCAGCTTCCAATAAATATATAAAAATAATAGAATACAATATAATTTCTGTCAAGCAACAACTACAATGAACTAGTAGTAAAAAAGTGTACTTCCAAAGTATTATGCTAATGTGAATGAATTCATGCCAAAGGATTATTCAAATTACGAAGACTATGAAAACGAATGGGGGTAAACTATTTTAATCGCAAGACATTTAAGCATTTTTTCCTGCAAAATCTATTTAATTTCAAAATTATCCTCGATAATTGCAAACTCAAAAAAGTCAAAAGTTGTCTACTAAAAACAAGATTTAAAAAAGGAAGAATATAAGTGATTTAGAAGTAATATAAAATGTTAAAAGAGTTAACGATAAGCCCAATAAGCAGCTTTTAATTAATAAACAAACATATTTTCTGCTTTGCTGACTCTCCTGGCGACAGTTTAATTTAAAATTTTTAAATTATTTGTTTCTTAGGAAAAGAAATACTTGAAAAGGAAAGAAAAAAAAATGTTTTTATTAAGCAATTAAAAAAATAAGCAATTAAATTTGATAGTTAAAGAAAGCTATTCAAGAAAAGACTCATTAAATATGAATTAATGAACAATATATTTAGCTGAATGTAATAAATATTTTCAAAAATTATATAGAAATCAAGACGATTATGAAGTAATCCGCAAATTAGGAAGAGGTAAATACTCTGAAGTCTTTGATGGAATTAGCGTTGTAACAAAGAAAAGAGTAGTTATTAAGGTCCTCAAGCCAGTTAAAAAGCGCAAAATTAAAAGAGAAATCAAGATTTTATAGATTTTGAAGGGAGGTCCAAATATTGTTGAATTGTTAGACGTAGTTCGTGACCCTGCCTCAAAAACTCCTTCACTTGTATAGCTACTTTATATATTAATTAATTCATGATCTTATTTCCTATCTATTTATTTTGGCTCAATTAATCCATATTTCAAAAGCTAAACGAAATATATTAAATAAAATAACTATCTAACTAACTAACAATAAATAGATCTTTGAATAAATTGAAAATGTCGACTTTAGAAGCTAGTTCCCAAACTTGACAGACTTAGAAATTAAATTCTATATGTTCGAAATTTTGAAAGTAAATTAAATTAATATTCTATTTTATTCACTTACTTACTTACTTCTTTCTTTCAACCCAGTTTATTTATTATTAATTAATTATTAATTTCATTCATTTTAAAAATAATTTTTATTAAACTGCAATAAAATAAATAAATAGGCATTAGATTATTGTCATAGCAAAGGTATTATGCATAGAGATGTTAAGCCATAGAATATAATTGTAGATCCCAAAAATAAAATTCTCAAATTAATTGATTGGGGTCTAGCTGAATTCTATCACCCTGGAACAGATTATAATGTTAGAGTAATTAATTAGCTATTTTTTTATAATTGACTCATTTATTTATTTATGCTAATCGATTAAATTTAAAAATACATTTTTAGAAATTCACTTCATTGCTAAAATTTCTGAAAATCAAATCAGCTTGAATATAAAATGTTTACTCTAACATGATAAATTAATTTGTTAATTAACTGAGTTACCAAAATTAAAACTATCAATTATATAATAACTTTATTAATTAAATTAACTTTGTTAAAAAGGTTGCTTCTCGTTATTTCAAGGGTCCTGAATTGCTTGTTGATCAAAATTACTATGATTATTCACTCGATATTTGGAGTACAGGAACTATGTTTGCATCTATGGTAATAAATTATTTTAAAATCAATTAATTTTACAATAGCAATAAACATAAACATAAATTATTAAGATTTTCAAGAAAGAGCCTTTCTTCTAAGGTGCAGACAACTAAGACTAATTAATAAAAATTGCTAAAGTTTTAGGTACAGAAGACTTACATAAATATCTTAGAAAATACGATTTAACATTAGATGTTAGTTATCATAAGATTCTTGGAAGGTAAGAATTATTTTGAATTAAATGAATTTATTTAAAAATAAATATAAAAATAAATTAGTTACGCTAAGAAGCCTTGGGTCAAATTCATTACAGAAGAAAATAAACATCTTTGCCATGAATAAGCTATTGATCTTCTTTCTAAGATGTTAATCTATGATAATGTAACTTAGATTAATTATAAGATAGCATAATTTTTATTAATAAATATACTTTTAAATAAACAGGCTTTAAGAATTACACCTAAGGATGCTATGGAACACCCTTATTTTGATTAAGTTCGTACTCTCACTCCTACTGGTCTTATTAATCTATTAAAACAATAATAAAATCAATAGTGATCATCTAGTTATCTAAATAAAGCTCATATTTTTTTACCTTACTATAATTTACATAATATAATGATATATCTATCTATCAATCAATAAATCAATCAATCATTGCTCTTTTGTATATGTTTTCTAAAAGTATTTCAAAGAGAATATAATAATTGCATTTTCGTCAAATTCCGTTCCTCTTTCATAAAACATAAATTATTTCATCAAACAAACTTTTTCTAATAAATAAAATATTTTTTTCTGCCAATCAATCGATATTGAACTCTTATATTAATACAATAAAAATATGGGCATTCATGCATGATTGTTAAAAATAAAGGCAAATTAATTTAAAACTTACAAATAAAAATTTATTTATTTATTTTCCTATAAAAAAGGAATTTTATTTGTTAATTTCAAGAGATGTGTATGCAAGCAAGCATACATTAATTTATTTGAATTAATTTACAAAAATTTTGTTTACTTTTTTTAATTATTTATTTGTCTAGAATAAAAAACACAAACAAAAACTAAAAAATAAATAAATAAATAATTAAATAATACTTTTTTATTAAAAAATAAAATTTGAATTCGTTTAAATTGATTTACTTTTCTTTTCAAGATTAATATCATATCGTGAATAAAATAAAGAATGAATGAATGAATAAATAAATAAACAATAAATTAATAAGTAAATCAATAAAATATTAGAGACTTTATTATCATCATGATTGTCTTATTTTTGCAAACAAAAATCAATATAAAGAACAAAAGGTTTATTTATTTATTTAACTACTAAGGAGTATTAAGTAGAGTAAAAAAAGCAATTTATATATATAGAAGAGAATAAGTAGTTAGCTATATATGAATGATGAATTGAATTTATTGGGGAGAATTGTTTTTGTTTGTTGCTAAGTCTTAAAATGAATAATTTATAAATTGATTATTTTATATTTTTATTGAATGGTTGGTTGGTTTGTTGATTGAATGATTGATTGGTTAGTTGATATCTTGATGAAATAGAAAATTTATTATTATTTTATTCGTAATTGTTTGTCTACTATTTTATTATTCTAAGATTTATTTTGTTTGAGATTTAGCATCTTTTCGTTTTTCCTCCTGTCCACTTTACACCACATCCTCTGCATTCTCAAAGGAAATAGTCAGGAACTCTACGAGAAGCATGAGGTTCGTTTGTTCTAGGAGCAGGTTCGAATTACATACTAATTTTTTAAGTAAATAGAAAAGGATTAATTAATTATTATTTGGATTGAAAAACTTTTAGAAATTCTGTTTAATTTAATTTTAGAATTTTATTTACTAGTTTAGCTTAAGACCATCGTCAACTTCCATAATTGAAGCCTAATTACCACATCTATAACAATAATTTGGTGCTGAGAAAATAGTTACACACTTTTTATTATGAACATGCTGATATCCCTATTTATTTATATAATATTAATTATACATTTATTTCTTTCAAATCTTGCTTGTTCCTATAAATTAATTATCAATTTTATTACATCCATAACAAGTTAGTGAGCTCTGGCAATGAGCTTTAATTTATTTTAGTGAATGAATTTTTCAGTGATATCATGACCCCAAGTCCATCCTGCACCTCTAGGAGAAAGACCCCAACCTATATGAATTTATCAAATTAGTTTTAACATAAGTTTTATAATAAAAGTAAGTTAATTTTGAATTACCAGTTCTTTAATCATCAGGATCTGACCATAAAAGGTCACACATAGGACCTTCGTGAGGGAGTTCTTAGAAACGATTAAGAGAACGAATTTGGTCAAGATTTTCAATAGCTGGAGACAAACCACCATGTAAACAGAAAAGCTAAATTTTTAAAATTTCAATATTAATTTTTTTACTTAAAATTTGTTAGTTATTTTCAAATCATAATATCATTCTTGAAAATCCATCTTAAATAGGATTTACTTAAAACATTTTTGATGTGATTGCATAAACAAATTAACTAATGATTGAATGATTAGATTAAAATATGTAATTAAGCAAATAAGTACCTGAGATTCAATTAAGGCAGTAAGAGGGAGATAGAGGAAAACGTCAGTAAAGTATTTCCAAACATTTTCGTTGCCGTACTTTTTGTAGCATTCATCATAAAAACCATAAATCTTATTGATTTCTCTGTTTTCGTGATTACCTCTCAAAATAGTTACACGATCTTTAAAGCGTACTTTTAATGAGAATATTAAGGATACTGTTTCTACTGAATTTGAACCTCTATCTACATAATCACCCATGAAAAGATAGTTAGTATCCTAAAATATAAACAAATAAAAATTAACTAACGAATGGAATAAATTGTTTTAAGGAATTAAGTACTAAAAAAAGTTATTCTGTCAGTCAGTCATTTATTTTTTAGTTTAGTGAATTTAAATAAAAAGTAAAAATAAATCTCTAAATAGTTTGATGAATTAATGAACAAACAAACAAATAATTAGTTTAATAATTATTTGGTTTGCGAAGCAAGTAATTAATATAATTTATTAATTTATTATTGGACTTTCTAAAATTTTTATTTCACTTCTAAATATATTTAAAAAAGCAACTAATCTTTAATTTCTTTTTTCTTTCTCTTTAATATAAAGAAAGTGAAGACTGACTATCAAAAAAAACGTACTTTTAGAGAAGGCCTTATTTAAATAAAATTTTATGGCTTTTATTCCTCAACTTTAAATAGAACCAAAACAAAAATCTTACAGGAGGTTTACCGCCTATTCTGAACAGTTCAATCAAATCATGGAATTAGCCATGGATATCACCGCAAACGGTCACAGGTGCTTTTACTGTAGTTACATTATTTTCTTCAGCTAAAATTTCTTTGACCTATATAAATCGATTAAATATCTAAATATACAGACTAGCATCTTTAAAATAATTACCTTATCACACAATATTTTTACATCGTTTTCAGCTAATGGCTTGCATTACCAAAGCTGCTCAATGTACTTATCAAAATTACCAAGATCGCTACTAGTTAGTTTGGGAGGCATATTAAATAAACTCTTTTTACTTACTTACTACTTTTTTAATTATATTTCTTTTCTTTCTTTCTTTTTTAATTTATTTATTTATTTAATTAATTTATTAATAATATTGTATTTTAACTATATTCTTAACTCTTTTCATACAATTATTTCTTCAAAGAAACATAGAAAAGCCAATAAGTACGCAATTCAACATGAATATATATAAATACATATACTTATATAGCTATGCATGTATGTATATTTTATCAAACAAAACATATGATTGCATTTAATTAGAAGAATAACATTTAGGCTTTAATTTCTTGATTTGGTATTCATTTATTGTTCGCTTTTTTTCAATAACCCAAAATTTCCTCTTTACCAATTAACTAACTAATTAGCTAATATTCCTTTCTAAATCTCTCTTATTCATTTACTCTCAAAAAAACAAATGTTGGTTGTGATATTATTTTTTATTTATTTCTTTAAAACAAATAATTTTTCATGCAAATTGCCTTTCTCTTTAATTTTATTCGCAACCAATCAATCAATTTATTTTTTAGTTTGTTTGTTTGTTTGTTTGTTTACCCTTCATCTTCAAATAATTATTTGGGTGCTCAAATAACTCCTCTTTAAGACTCAAAAATATATTTTAATACTCTTTTTAAATAGGAAATTTTACTGTTGATTAAAAAAAGTATGCTAAGTTTTAAATATCAGAAATTAAATAGATGAACTAACTTTAGATTCATTAGCAATTTATAATTTTATTATGAAAAAATACAATTTTAAAGTGATTAAATAGAAAATTTAAACTATTAGCTAACCTTAATAATAAATTCTGTTATTTTATTATATTCAAGTAATTAAAAATCAATCAAAATAAAGTTTTTATTTATTAATTAAAGTAAAATTTAAATAATGAATGCATTTAGTTTTTTAAAAATTATTTGCTTTTGTAATCTATTTATCTTCTACATTTTCAAGTACAATCAGAATTATATTTTTAGAATTTCTCACTTTAATGATTTAAAAAAGTAGAACCTATATTTTATTTTATTTAAATATTCTTATTAATAATTAAAATTTATTAAAAAAAGTAACACAATTACTAATTAGCAAAAAAAATAAATAATCTAATTTTAAATTTAAGTGAAATTTTATTTTGCAATTTTATCTTAAAAGTTAAATGCAAAAAAATATCATTTTAACATTTATTTAATAGTTTTAAATAATTAAATAAACCTTTAAGAATTTAAAATAAATGAATGTCTTTAATTACATCAATTGCATTTCAATTTTTTCATTTAAAGTTTTAAATAAAAAGTTCTGTTCTATAAATTGATTGAAAATTTAAAAAATAAAAAAAAAAATTTTAAATATTCATAAAAATAATAAAAATAAATGACTATTCTTTAATTCCAAATATTTTTATGCTTAAATAAAATTAAAAAATTATAAATAGAATTTTAAGATTCAATATTTTTTGTTATCAATCTTAAATCTTGATAAAATTCTTTTGAAAATTAAGTAAATATAAAAAACTATCTTCTGTCATTTTATGTAAATATTATTTTAAATAAATTACATTTATTTAAAATAGAAATTGAATTAAATAAAATTTTCATTTTTATTTTAGATTGAGTAAAAATTTTTAATTTTCTGAATTACCTGAACAATAGTATCAATTTATCTAAGAAAAATAAGTACGGGTATTTATAAAATGAAGATTTTAATTAAAGAAGGATTAGATAGAGTTCTTAATATTCTGATAGTTTTGATTTTTCTAAGAAAATTATAAATCTTTAACCAACTAATTCTGAATCAAAATTTATAAAATTAATATTAGCATTAAAAAAAAACATTTTTTGATGCAAAATTAAAAATAAATTACAAAAAAAACACAACCATTTTGTTTTAGAAAATTAGAAACAACTATATTTTTTAGTTTAAATTAGAAGAATTTCATATTAAAAAATCTGCCAACAATAAACAAGTGATAATATTATAAAGAGAAATTGCCAAATTAGTTTAAAAGAATAATATTTTAAGTATAAAAAAGTGTAATTTGTATTGTTCGAAAAAACATTTTTTTAGAATCTATTAAAAGGTTTTTATAATTTACAAAATAACAAAAATTTAAATACCGATTTTTAGATTTGAACAATAATTTCTTATTTCAAAAATACTATATTAAAAACAGCTAATAAAATACTAAGTTTGATAAATTATTTAAAGTTAATAATTAATTATATTTTGAAATAAATAATTTTTTTATCAGATACTTTTTCTAATTGAATTGATTGTTTTTTAATTTTATCTAAATTAAAAAAGTTCTAAATACAAAAAATTTTTATCATAAAATAAATATAAAATATATTATTATAAATTAAATACTTAAATGAAATTGATAAAATAAATCAACAAAAATAGAAATAATCTCTTTTAAAATTAAAAATTAAAGTTGAAATTAATTTGCCAACAAACTGATTGAGTCTTTTTCAAATTTTTAAAATTATTTTCAAGGCCTTTATAGAGTTTTTGTTGTCTATAAACAAATTTTATTTAGCCAATTATAAAGTGTAAAACTTTACTTATTTCATGAATAGCTAGTTTTTCATAATCAATAATTTGAATTTAGAATATTCAATCAAAAATAACTTTTTAAAAAATTATTACACATTTAATTTTTTATGTATTATTTAATAAGCTAATTATTACTGATTTAGTATTTTTTATAAATTTGAGTTGTAATAATATATTAATAGATTTTTGGGATAAAATTTTAAAAATGCTATATCAATTTATTTTTATTTTAAGTAAGCAATATCTAATATCATTTTCGAAGTATCTAGTTTCAATATTGTATTTTTAAAATAAAAATTGGTTTTGATCTATTAAAAAATTAAATATCAAGAAACTCAAGTTTTAATATTATTTTTAATACTGTAGTTCTAATTTGTATAGTTTAGTGATTAATATGAATATTTCATTATTCAATTTTATTTAATGATAGTAGGTAGATAATTTTAGATAATATAAATATACTCAAAGAATAAATAATAAAAAAATCTATTTGCTTCAAAATATTTTATATATAGATAAATGAGGGGTCTAGCGCACTTGTGATTATTTTAAAAATTTTTTTTTTTTTTAAATTAATAACAGATGAGTGTCTCTGGAGAAATGTTTATTAATAATTTTGGTACTTCCAAAACTAATAATTATATTATATATAGTTAATTTGCAAAAATATTTTGTTCTACTTATTATTTTAATAGTAAATTAAATAAATCTAAGAAAACAAAATAGCAAATAAAAATTTAATTAAAATGACATTAATCATCAGAATTATTTTATAATTTGTGAAAGATTATTTTAATTAAATACAACTGAATAGGAAAATTCCTAACTTAAATTGAAAAGCACTCATTTATTTTAATGATTTTAAGGGAAACAATCATTTTTTTTTAATCTTTAATATTAATAGATTTTTATAAGTAAATTAATTGAAATAAGAATTAATTAGTCTTTTAATATTTTCTTATTTTAAAAAAGAAATTTAGTGATTAATTAAAGTTAATTTTAAAAAATGAATTCATAAATTACTCTTTTTCCCAAATAAACAAAATCGAAATTTAGTTAAGAAAATTATTTTATTATTTTTTAAGTATAGTTTAAATTAAAAATGTAAGTTCATAAATTAGTTAAAATAAAAAGATTAATTCAAATTCTAATGGTCTTTTTAAAATAAATCAATTAAAGATAACTAATTAATTGTCTTATATTTAAAAAGTAAATACTTATTTTATAATGCTGATCAGGTTTAAAATTAAAATTAATTAAATTTTTTTTGAATTTTTTGATTATATTCAACTTATAAATAACAATAGACATAAATTATGTCTCAAATAAATATTTTTTTTTATATTTAAGAAGCTAATTTTATGATATTTAAGGGGTCATTAAATGATAAAAATTAATTTAATTAGCTTTCCTTAGCTAGTTACTTTTTATAAAGTATTTTGTTTAATTATATCAAAGGATATTATATATTTGTATTAAAAATATTCATATTAGAAATTTTATTAAAATTATCTAAAAATTATTACCTGTTTTATTATTTGCCAATTTTAAAAATGAAATAGTTTAAGGTTCAGGCTAACTTCATTTGTAACTAAATATTATGCTTTGTCATTAAATTAAATTTTAAAATATTCAGGTATTATTAGTAATGTAAATATAGATTTTACTGTTGCTTTGTTATTATTTATGTGTCTAAACAAATTTTATTTGTTAAAAAGCTATATTTAAGGATAATTTAAATATTTATTCAAAAAATTTTATCTATTTTATTATTTGATTTTTAAAATACCTTCTAATAAAATTAAACAAAAAGCATTAAATACTTTAAATAAAATTATAATTTGAGAGATAAAAATAACTGATTTTAATATTAAACAAATTTAAATTTAATATATATTTGTTTTGAATAAGCATTTTACTTTGCTTAAATTCATAGTTGATGAATTTCTGATCAATATTTAAAATAATATATCTGCATCAAAACAAATCAATATATGTTTAGTTTTTTTTTTAGGGAATATAATGATGAAAAATAATGGATTCCCACGTATAAATAATTGCAATAATCAAAAATATTGTTATGAAGAAATAATTTGTAAAAGCCTTAATTTAATAAAAGTTAACAAGCAAGCAGATCAAAAAGAGTATAATGTACTTAAAAAGAGTGATATGTGTTAATTTATTAGAGTTTGCCATGAAAACTATCAATTGAAATATTGTTTTGAACAAAATTTAGATAAATTAATTTTTAATAGGCCTTAATTGATTGCTTAATAAGTTATTAATTGAAAAGAAAATAAATTGAATAAAAAATAGAGCAAAATATTAAGAAATCTTAATTGAATAAAATAAATAAAATAAAAGAAAAAGAAAGGATTGCAAAATATTGATAAATAATTTAAAAGACTCATAAAATAAAAATAAACAGAAGATATCTTAAAGAAATATATAATATTAGTATTCTTACATACATAATAGATAGGTAGAAAAAACTCAGAGCATAAAAAAAGTAAAATTTAGCTAGCAAATGATTGTAAAATTTGAGACAAAAAGTAAAAGAGTTAAGGGTTTAGCATTTCATCCCATCAGACCTTGGTTGCTATCTGCCTTACACACAGGTTAAATATAGCTTTGGGATTACAGACTCAAAACATTGTTAGATGAATTCGTTGATCACGATGGTCCAGTTAGAGGTATTGATTTTCATTCTAGCTAACCTCTTTTTGTTTCTGGTGGTGATGATTTCAAGATAAGAGTTTGGAATTATAAGCTTAAAAAATGTTTGTTTATTATGAAGGGTCATTTAGATTATATCCGTACAGTCCAGTTCCATAAAGAACTTCCATGGATTGTTAGTGCTTCCGATGATTAAACAATTCGTATTTGGAATTGGTAAAGTCGTTCAATGATAGCAATTTTAACAGGCCATTCTCACTATGTCATGTGTGCAAAATTCCATCCTACATAAGATCTTATAGTTTCATGTTCCCTTGATCAAACTTTACGTATTTGGGATTTCAGCGCCACTCGTAAAAAATCTATGCAATCAAATTCAAAAGTAATCAATTAGATTAATAAAAAAATCGATTAATTGTTGATATAAACCAACTAATCTCTTAAATAGGAATTGTTTGATTTATTTTAACAGATGAAGTGAAAATACATTTTTTAGCTCAATTTAATATTACAGGAGAGCGTTTATTCAATAATTTTGTTTAATCATATTAATAATTAATATTTTATAGACTTAAACTTAAAATTTCGGAGCAAATGAAGTTGAAGTTCATTCAGTTCTTGAAACTCACGAAAGGGGTGTTAACTGGTGTGATTTCCATCCAGATATGAATTTGATTGTTTCAGGTGCTGATGATAGAAAAATTAAGCTTTGGAAATTTAATGAAAGTAGAGCATGGGATCATGATTCTTTATATGGACACAAAAATAACGTTTCTTCTGTTGTCTTCCACCCAAAATTAAGTAAAAAATTCAACATTCAGATTTTATTTAAGAATAATAATAAAAGCTAATATGAATGAAATCATTTATTGTAAAAAAAAGACCTAATTATCTCTAATAGTGAAGATAAAACAACAAAAGTTTGGGATTTAAACAGGAGAGTTGCCATATCAACTTTCACTAGAGACAATGATAGATTTTGGGTAATAGCTGTTCATCCTTAAAATTTAACTTTTGCTTCAGGTTGTGATAATGGTTTCTATGTTTTCAGTTTGTTCTCAGATAAAATGCCTTAGTCTCTTCCTGATCCAAACTGTCTCCTCTTCGGCTTTAGAAAATAGATTAAAGCTTATAACTTTGTTAAAAAAAGCATTACTGTTTCCAAGGAATTCGAAAGTTAAGCAACCATTATTTAGGAAAATATTAATTTCTTTTAACAAAATCCTTTTGAAACCTCACAAGCTTAGTTCTTAGTAGGTACTGACACAAAAGAAAAATCAATCTATAAATTCTATCTATTAACTTATAACACCAATAACTACGATGATTTGCAAAAAGAAAGAGAAGATTGCAAAACTTTTACAGGAAAGGGTGCAGTTTTTGTTTCAAAAAATAAAATTGCTAGAATTAAAGAAAATAGAACAGTTGAAATTTACAATTTTGACTTAAGCACGTAACCATATTACCATATTTTTTTTGAAATAACAAATTAATGAATTAGAGTTTTAATTAGTATTTATTATGAAAATATAGATAAAGCAACCCAATTTCTGATATTACAGATGTGAACAGAGTTTTTTCAGGTCCTATTGGAAATGTAACTATTTATTTCTCTTTGATTAAAGTTTTTATAAGTAAAGCAACATTTAATTAATTTATTTATTTATTTAGGTAATTTTCAGCACTGATGAAAGCTTAATACTATACAATATTACCACAAAAAAAGAAATTGGAAAGATTCCTATGAAAGCTGAATATAAGGTCAAAAATGCTTACTGGAATAAGAATAATACTATGGTTGCTCTTGTTGCTAAGAAATCTATTCATGTTATGAATAAAAACTTAGGAAAGATTTGCACTATTAATGAAAAGTTTAATGTTAAATCATTAATATGGCATGGAAACGTTTTAATTTATACAACTATCAACCATTTAAAGTTTGGCCTTCTAAATGGTGATAGTGGCATTATCAAATGTATTGATGAAAACCTTAAAGCTGTTAAAGTTGAAGGTAATAATTAATTATTTCATTGATTAAATTAATAAAAATACCTTATTCAAATTACATATATAGGCAATACATTCTTTGGTATTAATCCTTCTGCTGAAATTGTTACAATTAATATCAACACTGAAGAATTGCAATTAAAGAAATCCTTATTTGATAAAAACTGGGAAAAAATTAAATATTACATGGATGCTAACAATAAATTAGGTAATTCTGTCATTTCCTATTTATATAAAAAGAATTATTCTGGAATTGCCCTCAATTTAGTCAATGATCCTAAAACTAAATTCTCATTAGCCATTAACTCAGGTAATTTAGAATAAGCCTTTAAATGTGCTAAAGAACTTAAAGATAAAGAAATTTGGGCAGTAAATATTTATTTTATTTTAGATTCCAATACTAAAAATTATTTATCAACCTAAAGAAATTAGCTCAAGAAGCAATCAGATAGGGTGACCATTAAATAATAGAAATTGCTTACTAAAATATAAAAGAATATGAAAAGCTCTCTTTCTTGTATACTGTATGTGGTAAAACTGAATATTTAAAGAAAATGCTTGAAATCTCTTAAAAAAGAGGAGATATCATGAGCAGATTCAGCAACTCACTTTACCTAGGTAACATTGAAGAAAGAATTAAAATTTTAGCTGACTCTAATTAACTCGCACTTGCATATCTAATGGCTGTAGCTCATAATAAGTCAGAATATGCTGAAACCTTAAAAAAAGGAATGGAGCAAGTCCCAGGTATTTTGAATACATTTATTTATTTATATTTTGAATGCTTTAATCAACTAATTTTTAAATATAGACATCTAGTAACTTAAATAATTTAAAATGAGCGCTCTTGTGCCCCCAAAACCTTTGGTAAAAATAATTGAAAGCAGTCCTTAAGCTTAAAGAAAATGGCCTTAAAACCATATTCCTGAAGAGTACATGGTTGTTCTTGCTGATCAAGATAATTAAGAATAGCAAACTAATTTACCAGAAAATGCAGTTTAACAAAATATTGTTGACGAAGAACCAGCTGCTATAGATGATGATGCTAAGAAACAAGATAATGCTAAACCTAACTTTGCAAATCAAGTAGATGATGAAGAATTCGAAGATGCAGGTGATGTTTGGCCTGATGTAGAATTACCTGATGATGTAGATATTCCTGATTCAGGTCCTTAAGCTACAGAGTAGACTCCTATTACTTCTAACTTCATTCAACCTGAAAGTAAACTTCTTAAGACTGTTAAGCAATCTCTTATTCCCTCTAATCATATCATATTTGGATTTTTCGAAAATGCTTTCTCTTTCTGGAAAAAGTAACTCGGTATCTATAATTTCGATCCTTTGCTCTCTGAAGCTATCAAAGTAGCTACTTCTTCATTAACTGTAATCTCATCAATCCCTTATGTCCAATCAAGTATTTCTCCCATCCATCAGGATAACAAGTAAATCAAAATTTTAATATTTCCTTATATTAACCATATTAATTTTCAATATTTCAAAGACCTTTTGTGTGCAGAAATCTCAACTCTTTAGAAATTTTATTGAAAAAAGCATAGAGATTTACAACTGAAGGTAAATTCCAAGAATCTGAAAATGCTTTTTATGATATTTTGCACTCTATTCCTTTTGTTAAATTACAAAAAGAATCAGAAATTAATGATATCAAGTCATTAATTTAAATTTGCTTTAATTATATTATGGCTATGAAATGCGAGCTAAGAAAAAATTAAGAACAAGATAGAACTTTTGAATTGTAGTGCTATATGGCTATCTGCAATCTTAAGCCTATTCATCGTGTTCTCACATTAAAATAAGCTATGAGTGCTGCTTATAAAAATAAAAATTTCATATATTGCAGCTATTTTGCTAAAAAGTTAATTAGGGTTGTTGAAGCTAACCCTAATGCAGCTAAACCTGAAGTTTTGCAAAGTGCTTAAAAATTCCTTAGAGCATGTGAAACTCAAGGTACAAATGCTCAACAAATAGTATTTGATGATGCATGGTTATACGATGACGATGCCACATACAATATTGATCCTTCAACTATGAAAATAAATAAAAATGTTAAAGAAGCTGCCAAATGTCCTTATTGCACAGCTAAAGTAGACCAATCTCTTAATGAAACAATTTGTCCTCTTTGCAATCTAGGAAAAATAGGAGCTCAAGTTATAGGCATTAAATTAGATTAATGAGAATATTTGTTATTCCCTAAGTATTTGTATTTTTAAACAATTTATTTTATTTCTTAAATCACATTAAAGATAAAAATCTTAGTAACTTTTTCATCAATAGCAATCATTAATATAATTATATATGAATAATATTTTCATAAACCTTTTATAATATATCTATAACTATTTATTTTATCATTGAATAATTAATTAATTTGTATTTGCCATAATCTCAAAAATTATTGATAATCTTGAAAAAAAGATAAAAATAAAACCTGATTGTTGTATAGATTTTAATTAATTGTTTGTAAAAATAATTAAAATTAAATTTTTATTTAAAAATAATACAATAAATATCAAAACCATTTCAAATTATATCCTAAACCTAGCTAGTTATAAATATTTTAATATTAATTAGTTTCCATTTTTCTATTAATTAATTAGTTTGATTAAAATCAGTCATAAATTGATAGATACTCTTTAAAAATGATTTTCTTTATAAAAATTGATAATAATAAAATTTATTTCTAGATATCTATTCAATTTAAAATTATTCTAAATGTACTAATATGAATTTCTATGATTAGTTAGTTAATTTAGTTTGCTTAAAATCAAACACACATACATACTTTAAAAAATGATTAATTAACTTTTTAAAAATAGATAAATATAAAAATAATTTGATTTCTAAAGATTTTAATATATATTCAATCAAAAGAATTATATTAATAAATTGTTCTATCAATTAATTAACAAATAATTATTTATAAGTAAGTATCTATATAATAAATATTTATATTTATTTCACTATTAGTTTGTTAATTTGTTTGTTTGCTTAATCATACATGTACAAATACTCTTTAAATGATTAATTAATTTATAAAAATAGATAAATATAAAAATAATTTGATTTCTAAAGATTTTAATATATATTTTATCAAAAGAATTATATTAATAAATTGTACTATTAATTAATTAACATATTATTATTAAAAAGTAAGTATCTATATAATATATACTTATATTTATTTTACTATTAGTTTGTTAATTTATTTGTTTGCTTAATCATACAAGTATACATACTCTTTAAATGATTAATTAATTTAAAAAAATAGATAAATTTAAAAATAATTTGATTTCTAAAGATTTTAAAAAATATTCAATAAAACGAATTATATTAATAAATTGTAATATCAATTAATTAACTTATAATTATTTAAAAGTAATTATCTATATAAACTTAAAATTATTTTATTATTAGTTTGTTAATTTGTTTGTCTGCTTAATCATATATATATACATACTCTTTAAATGATTGATTAATTTATAAAAACAGATAAAAATAAAGATTGTTTAGTTTTTATTAATTTTAAAATATATATTAAATTAATTGAATTATATTTATAAATTGAACCAATTTTTAATTAAAAGTTTAATATCCTTTATATCTAGTAGACTAAATATTTATTTACAACCTTATTAATATGTTTTGTGTCTGAATACTTATATCTTATCAAATGTTATTTCAAAATTTGATCTTAAGTTTACATAGATTAATTTAGGATAAAAGTTATTGGCTTAATAAGAAATAGTTAGTTAGTTAATTCTTCATCTTAAATTTATTTTAGTTACTGCAGAAATGAACTTTCTATCATAAAAATGCATTTATTTTAGTTTATCGCTTATCATTTAAAGAGCCAATTTGCCAATTTTGCGAAGTATAATTTTAGATAATTAGAGTTTTTAAAAATTTATCAAACTTGAATGTACTAAAATTAATTTTTATCTAAGGTATTTAAGCTTATCCATAATAAATAATCTTCACTTAATGTACATTAGTTTTATGGAAATAATTATTAATAGAAGGATTTTAAAAATCAAAATATTTAAAATAATTACCAAGTTCAAATTTGGTATTGGTATCTGCATTAATATTTGCATAAAAAAAATTCATAAACAAAACAAACTATTCACTAACTAAATAGTAAACTTGAAAATTAAATAAATAATATACCTATTGACAAAATATTCATTTTTAATATCTAAAAAAGCATTTTATCACATAAAACAATTTTTAAAATAATCTAATTCAAAAATACATTGGCCTGTGTTCATTATATATATTTTAATTAGGAAAATTTATTACTTTTATAAAATGCCATATCATTCAAAGTTATAAAACAAACCATTTTATTAATACAAAGGTATTTTTTGTAATAGATGAAGTATTATAAAAAAAGTAATTTATAAAATCTATCAGTAAAAAATAGCACAACTTTTTATCAGATATATTTATTTAAATCATTAAGACTCTATCATTAGACATAATAGCAGCATAAGCTATTCTTCTTCTAAAAAATTAATATCTTAAGTTTGATCTAAAAATCATTCTTCAGTATTATTTAATGTGAGTAATTAAGTTTACTTTTTTATGACTCTAAATTTTTTTAATTATATTTTGTGGTATTGAATTGATCATCATAAAGTAAAAATTTATTTAAATAATAAAAAATAAATCGTAGATTATTTTGTGGTAAATTTTATATCAACCCATATATTACTAAATAATTTAAATTAATGTTAATCTATCTATCTACAAACCAACATAATTTAACCTAACCTAACCTAACCTAACCTAACTTAACTGCATGCATACATACATACCTACTTCTTATCTAACTTTAAACTAAATCTAAAATCTTAATAGCTTTATAACAAATTAATTATAAAAAAAAAACTTTAATTACCAAATTTTATACTTCAAAAGAAAAATGTAAAAATAATAAAAGTACTTTGATACTATTGAAAAAGTAAACATATTTAGTTAGATAATATTTTAAAAATAATTTTATTATAAAGTTCTAGAAGGAAGAAGATCACTAATCTCTTACAAATATCTATTTCATCTTTGAGTAAAATTATTATTTTTGAATAATTGTTTTTTTTTGCACAAAAATATGAAATACTTATTAAAAATAAATATTAATTTAGCTATTAAACTTTAAATTAATTATATAGAAAATTCTATTTTATTAATCAATTTATGCGTTAAGTCTTACAAATTTACCTATTAAATTTAACTTACTTATTATTTTTTCATTTTAATCAATTAAATTACTTTTCTACTTTTTAGTTTATTAATGACTAACCATTATACTTAAATATTTTTTATAAAATAAGTGATTAACTTACTAATGAGTAAATAGAAATTTTAGATACTACTCTATCAAAATGTACTAATCTCTCAACTTTGAAAATCTAAATTGGGTAAATATTATTTTTTTTAATTATCTGTAACTTTTCACTCCCTCAGCTATTCAGCAATAGGAATTTTAAAATTCCGACTACAAACCTAAAGATATTCTTTTTTAAGAATATTAGTTTTATAATTAAAAAATTTTTTTTTGAGAAGTTAGAGTAAATATTTTTTTATATTAATATATTGATCATATTAACTAAAAAGATATAATGTTGTCAACGAAGGATTAGCTACAAGGATATGCCAACTTATAGCCAATTGCAATAATCTCACTGATTTAAATTTTTGGATTTAGTAAATTAGTTTATTTATTTATTGCCATTTATTTAATTTGGCTTTTAAATAGTGATTTAACTTACATTTAATAGATTTCTTTCTTTTTTAATATGCAATACAAAATTAAATTTGCTAATATTATAGCTCAAGTGAAATTACAGATCAAATCGCAATAAATTTAAGTTAGGCTATTTCAAAGTGCACTAAACTCTAAAAACTCGAACTAAATTTAGCGTAAATTATGCTTATTTTATTGATACTTTATTATTTAAAATTGAATTAATTTTTTAATTGTTAAATTGACATCATTTTTAAAAAACTCATTCTTATGATTGATTTGATATTTATTAAAAATAATATTAATAGAACAAATAAAATTTGTGAATCAAATAAGTCTAGTGCAGGTTAAATTGTATCAAACTTTCTCAATCTCTAAAATTTGAATATTATTTTCTAGTAATATTATTTTTATCAAGATAAAAGAAGCTTATATTATAATAAATGGTTTCCTTTTTTTCTTAGCTTTAAAAATTTTTTTATTAATTTTCTTTGTATCTATAATAAATATTTTAATTCTACTCCTCTATTCTTTTTTTAGCAACATTAAATTTTATTAGTCTTTTAAATAAAAACCAATAAAAATACCAAAATAGTTGTAATAAACTTGGCGATGAGGGTATATCATCTTTAGGTTTAGCTTTATCAAGCAGTAAAACTATCTCAACTTTGGTACTTAGTCTTGGGTAAAAAAAATTAAATTTAACTTTTATTTATACTTAAATTTTCTTGCTCTATTAATTTTTTAATTTATTTTATTTAATCTTTAAATATTTCTATATTTATTTATTTATTTATTTCATACTATAATGTTAATTTTTTAAAAAATTAATTTATATACGAAATAGGTCCATATGGTGCAGCAAATCTAGGTTCTTCTTTAGCCTAATGCTCTAATCTTTCAGATTTAAAAATTATTTTTTAGTAAAAATATTTATTTAATTATTATTAATACAATTTAATTAAAAAAATGTGTGATGTAACACAAATTTATTTGAGTATCTTTTCAAACTAGCATTATAATAGAGATAATTTATATTTTTTCATAATATTTTCAAAAATTTTATTAGTAGAAATAATGTTGGGGATAAAGGTATATCAGATTTCGCTTCTGGTTTATCAAATTGCCATAATCTCTAAACTTTGTCATTCGATCTTGGGTAAAAATTATTTTATTTATGATTTTAATTTTCAGTTTATTTATTTATTAATTCAATTTAGAAATTTAATCACTTACTTCTACTTAGTTTTTGATATTTTTTAACTTTCAAAAAAAAAAATTTGTATTTACTTTTACTTTTTTCAAAATCATTTTAATATAAAATTTTTCAAATAATTTAAAAGAATGAATCAAATCGGAGATGAGGGTCTATCATGTCTTGGTTAATATCTGTCAAAATTCAAAAATCTCCAAACTTTGAATCTTGAAATTTCGTAATTAAGTTTACCTAACCATATATTTTTGACTAACTTTTTCATAAAAAATAATTTAGATATAAATATTTAATAACAAATTTGTTACTAATTCGCATCTTATTTTTTCAATTTTCAATCCATTATTTATTTTACCTTTTTCTTACTACATATCTTTATTCTAATTTTTACTTAAACATCTAAAAATATTACTTTAATAGAGAAAACAAAGTTGGTGTTAATGGCATTTCTGATATTTTATCAGCTTTATCAAACTCTTCTAATCTATCTACCTTGAATCTAATTATTTTGTAAAAATTATTTATTTCTATTTAATATTAATCAATATTTCCTAATTTAATTAATTTTTTTTTTCTAATTATTTGTAAAGAAATAAAAAATTATTTTTGTAACATTAAAAGTAATAATTAAATTGGTGATGAAGGTACTTCAAAGTTAAGCTCTGCTTTATTAAACTGTACACAAATACGTAATTTGTCTATAAATATTGGGTAATTTAAGTTTATATTTCAAAAATTTGTGTTTATTTTTATAGAAAATTATTTTAGGAACATAATTTAATTGAGTTAAAATTTCAATAAAACAAATACATATGTGCTTTGAAATTATATTTAGGTTTAATTAAAAAGAGAAGAGTTAGAGGAGAATTTTTAATAGAAAAATAAGCTTATACTCAATATTTTTAATTAAATTAAAATATAGTTTTAAAGTTAATAATAAATATTTTTTTATTAAATATAACAAAAATTTTAATTCAATGACAATAATTATTTAATTTTAATCTATTAATTTCTTTAAATGTTTATATTTTTCAGACAATTAGATAACATATTTATGTAAAAAATATAAATAGAAACAATAAAATTACTGATTAGGGCGTATAAATTTTAGGATCTAATTTAGAAAAATGCAATAATATTTCTAGGTTGGAGATTAATCTTGAGTAAAAAACAATTAATTAATTTCATATTTAAAAAAATCCTTTTAAGGAAACATAAAAATTATTCAATTTTATAATTTTATTAATTATTCTCTAATGTTTTTATTTCATTATTAATCTAAATTAATAAATTTTATCTTTAATAAATATGTTTTTTTTTTTTATAAATAGTAACAATTCAGTTAATTCAGAAACAACAAAGAATTTTAAAAGATAAGTTTCTAAGATGAAATAATTAGTTTTCAGAGATGTGTTTCCTTGATGGATAAGTTATTTACATATTTTTAAAATTTAAAGTTTGAATTAGTCTTAAGTTATATTTAAATATTGTTTTTATAAAATAAATTTCCATATTTTTTTTCTTAAGATAAATTAATTTATTATTTATTTACAAAATATTTAGAAACCTAATTATTTTTAAACTTTGGGGTTGGGGTTGGGGTTGGGGTTGGG